CTTTAATAATAAAATTTCCGAATCCAAACATCCCCTTTGTCCATTTGCAGCTCCTTTCCCTTCTCACCGAATTCAATAGGAACAAAGGCATTACCTCCATTTTTTTTTTTTTTCATTTTTCCACAGCTGACGTGACCAGACCATGACTTGGGATTTTCTACAGTGCCACAATTAATCACAACTCCTCTGAGGGGGCGGTGGCTCCTCAAGAATCATCTATCTTGAATGTTAACAGTGCAATTGACTTATTTATTTACTTATTCTCCTCAGGGAAACCATATTTTTATAACAGAAATGTTTTTTTTAATAATTCTTTGGAAGTAGTAGTCAATTAAGGGTTAATTCGTGGAAACACATTTCACCGGAAGAAGTAAAAAGACTTTGGCCATACTAAAGTGTGTTTGATGGGAGAAATTAGGGACAAAGACTTTGGTGCTTTATTTGTAAATTAGGCGACGTTTATTACAGATTTTTAGTTACCTACAATAAACACATAAAAATTCTAATAATTGACTAGTATTATTTTTCGTTTGTATAAAATTAATACATCTCATCAATTAAAGAGATCCAACTTTAACTTAAATGAGATTTCTCTTTTAATTAGAATGTTTTTCTTACACGTAGGTCCATTTCCTACTCCTTTCTCAACGAAAGGAGCAAAGGAATTCCCTTTTCATTATTCCACGGTTGACGATGACGTTGTTTTGGGATTGATTTTCTAACTTGCTCTGCACTGCACCAATGATATATGTATAGGTGGGTCCACTATAGTTGCTTTCTAAGTAGCTTTGCTGGACTCAATCGATCATTTTCCCATAGTTGGTGATGACCTTGCTTCGGGATTGATTTTCTAACTTGGTCTGCACTGCACCAATGATATATGTATAGGTGGGTCCACTATAGTTGCTTTCTAAGTAGCTTTGCTGGACTCAATCGATCATTTTTCCATAGTTGGTGATGACCTTGTCTCGGGATTGATTTTCTAGGCCTGCACTACACCAATGATACATGTATAAGTGGGTCCACTATAATTTCTTTCTAAGTGGCTTCATTGGGACTCAATCGATTGTGTATGCAATTATAGAAAGGAAGTTTTCAGGATGTTTCCAGTTTTCGTTTACATTAAATTATCAAATCTCATCAATTAAGGCAAGAATCCAGCTTTAACTTTAATGGGATTTCACATCTGGAACGCTTTTCTTACCTACACGTACGTAGGTTGTCCAGGGTGTTATGCATGAGTTTCTATACGGGTGTTATGTACGAGTTTATACACGGGCCGAATGTAGCTCATAATAGTTATCACCAACAAAAATCAGATGTAGAAGTTGAGTTTGTCATTGATAGAATAGAAATCATCCGAATGTCAAAACAGAAGATGAAAAAAGAGTTACTGCTAAATCATAAAATTTAAGCTTAACATTGAAAGGAATATCAATGGCATCTCAGGTAGGGATTCTTGAATGCAAAATCATCAGGTTCTTTAAGCACACAACCCATTTTAACTCAAAAAGTAACCTATTTCTGTCAGAGATATGATGGCCCTATGAGTGCAATTAAAAAAAATCTGAAAGTCTGTATCTGAAATGGTTATGGTGTAAACTAAGACTTAATTATTGAGATTTGATTTCTACCTAATATTACCTTTACAGAAATCACAGATAGATACAAGTCTCAGATCCAACATTTTTATTTTGAAAATCAGAATGTAACGCATTTTCAAACAAGATAAAAATGGAGAAATTGCATGACCAAACAACATTTATATGGCACAAGGGAACCTCAACGCGGTTCAAAACGAAGCAAGGAAATGGAAATATAATATTGATAAAAAAACAGTAAAAATCACCATGTCAAATCCATGCTTGTTTGCAAATTCAGGGAACCAATATCAGAAAATCTTTTGTTTGCCTGTAGTAAGCTCAATTAGTGTAAACATAAAAAAAGGAAGTTAATGTATATTTTTTAGATATAGGATGAAACCAACGTATTAACCAAGAAATTCTTGTTTATTAAAGAAAAAAAAAAAATCTACAAAACTGGTTATCTTCACTTTAATAGAAGAGGGATGGCTCTTGACCAGGTGTCATCTTGATTTAGTTCTCACGACCCAGAGAACAGCGAAGAAGGATGAACATGAAGAGATAACAAATAACAGAGATCAATTATTTTGACAACCAAAGCAGAATGATGATAATTTTTTTGTGGTGGTATCAAACAAGTTCTTACTTAAATCTTCTTCAATTCACTGTAGTTACCTTTCCATTGGACCAAACAGTACTATATTTACATCTTTCTTTGTCCTAGTTAGCATGATTATTGATATCCATGCTTATCAGAAAGTTCTTACGTTTGCCTATGGTAAGTTCAGTTAGTGTAAGAGTCTCATGGTGTTGTTCTTGTCATTTCTTTGGGCAATCACACTTTTTAGCCATGCTCTTTCAGAGAATCACCATCAAAGAAATCAGGAGCCATCTGAGGTTTTTGAAAAACTTGCCAAGGGAACTGACCGAGGCAGTTCAAGCTATTTACTAGAGGAAAGACAACCCAACTTTTTCTGTCCAAAGCAATGAAGAAATCTTGAAAATAGTTGAAGAGGCCAAAGTTCCTGCTCCAGGATCTCGCTCTATCGAAGGCTTTGGCTGGGGAGGAGAAGAAGATGGAGATGCCAAGGAAGAAGAGGTAAAGGAGGACGAAGATGAGTATGAGAAGAGAGTTATGGAGACTGATGCTAGTGGAGAAATTAAGCTCACTTGATCAATACATTCTTGATTCTTTCCAAATAATTAAGATCTGGAGTTTGTTTCAGTGCTTGTATAAAGTCAGTTTCTATCTAGGCCGTTGTGTTGAATAAGTATTTGTAAATTTGTAGTATATTGGCATGGGGAAAATTTTAGCGTGGTGCTACTGGTCTTGTAACTATTATGATTCCGAACTACCTCTGAAAGTCAAGTTGATGGTTTTCCTTTTGGGAGTTAGGATTAGCATAATGTATTAAGGGTTTCTTATTGTTTAGAGAACTAGAAAGATGACT